TACTTATTTGGGGACCGCTAGTGAGCTGGGGACCGCTAGAGAGTTGGGGATCGTTAGGTACTTGGTATTTGGTTTGTGGGTCGCTTGTTAGTTGGTACCTAGGTAGGGACTACTCTGATGGCCCGTCAGGGCCCACCACTTTGTGACGGCCGCTGCATTTGCCTCGTACTTGAACTTTGTAAACAACCGCGGGACTCTGTACCAGTATCCTTCCTCCACTGCCACGGCATTTAAGTGCACATGGATGTAGACATGCATTTCGGTAATCGATCCGATTCAAAAAATTACGCCATCTTCCCATCATCTCCTTTCACTTGAAACTATGCAAGTGGTGGTGCCAGGGCATTGGAACTGTACGCAGTTGCTTCTGCAATCAAGCAGCAACCATTTGTATTTTTTGAAGCTTGTGTGAACCAACCTTTACAATCAAGATGCAGTGTATTTCTCCCGTCTGTATCTGACACGTCACCCGCCACTTGCCGGCACAGGTGCCCTCCTCCCTCTGCATGCACTCTCTGCGGGCGGCGAGCGACGTCTCCGGTGAAGTCGTCCGCGGCGCGGGTAACAGACCGCATCCGTCGCCCTGGCGCAGGCGGAAATGGGTCCGATCTCAGCAACCGCTTCCCTCCGCCTTCTGCCTTCCGTCCACCTCGTTCACAACCTGCGTATGGGCGCGCAGTCCCTTACCCGCTATTTTAGCGTAGTAGGTGTCTCTGGAGGCAGGGACGCATTCGTAGGGCGATCTACTTGCACACTGCCCGTACTCCCCTTCGAAGGAGCCCTGCCATCCCAGTAGAATTTGCACCGGAGCAGGCGCGCAGGTCAAAGCATCATATCGGGAGTCGCTGTATTGGCCAATCGTACCAGCTGCGGTCTCCTATAACCTGTGCACCTCATGTGCACTTCACCAGACACCTTAAGTCGTTTACGACGATGCAAGTCTCTCTCTTGGTTGGCGATGAAGACGGCCCCGTACTCATGTTGCCACGCGTGACGGCGTGCGATGGCGCGATTACAGCAGCAAAAGCGTGATGATACCCTACACGTCGAATCGTAGGCAATGTCTGCAAGAGTCGGAACTCATTTCTCCGCTCGCCCGTCATACAAGTGCCCTACTGGTACCTACCTTCGAGAAGTTAAGCTTGACGCAACACACCCGGATCCCACCAGACACCTACCCCAAGTACCGCCAATGCGTCTCCTCACTGATCTTCATAAACGTCCACCCTCCCGCTCCCCCGAGCTGGCGGGGATGCCCAAACTCACCGCGGCCAGCGTCCTGACATCGTTAATCCTTTCACCTACTAACGGCATCCCGTCCGCACCACACCCCACCTCCGCACTCGCATAAGCTGCATGCGGACCGTCGCCGCTGCAGTCTTCTCCGACGTCATCGGTTTGCCCATCAAAATGGCAACCCCCGTCTCCCGCTCCTCTTATCGAACTCGCGATTTCCTGCACTCTTCGAGAGTCTGGCCCATGTGAGTTTTCTCTCCTTTCGTCTGCATCGGGCTCCTGCCGTACTTGAGTGACTCGCATTCGAGCACGCGCCTTTTGCAGCGCTTCATTTCGAAGTAGATCAAAAAAAGCGACTGCATCATCCGGGTTGCAGCCTTCAGGGGCCGAGCTGAACAAGAGAATTTCGTTGTGCTGTTGCAATACAGCATTACGTTCTTTTTGAAGGCGTATAGATTCAGAAGCCAAGCGTATTTTTCCCTCCTGTTTTCCTCCTTCAGGTCCAGCTCCTTCGCTTTTCTCCGGCCAATAGGGCGCCTTCGTGTGAGTGTGATTTCGTCATCCTCTACTGTGCTTTCAGCACTGACAACTGGCTCCCTTCTGCCGGGTGCAGATCCACTACTCAGTGTCCGTGTGCTTCCTGTCTTGAAAAGAGCCCCTCCTCCAGAAAATTTTTCATGCGAACGAAGCAGTTTCCATACTGAAAAGAACCTAAAAAGCCTCCCAATGTCATCATTGGGATGATTTATCTCAACTTTGTTATAAAGAGCGGTTGCAATTCTCATCATATCATCCTCTGAAACCCCGGTAGGTTTCGATCTTTTTACAGAGGCAAAACAGGAGCTATACTTCAAGCACTCTTTGTTGATGAGTTTTGATCGTGCTCTAATGCTTTCCATTGTTCTTTCTTCGCAGCTTTGCTCCTTGAACGTATGATAAAGCTCACACATACGCTCATAGAATCGAGAGGTTTTGTGCTCTGATCCTGTGACAGGGTCTTCTGAGACCCTTACTCATGCTCTCCCCACCGCCATGTCTTCAGCGCATGTGAAGTTTGGGCCGCGCGTACGAGGAGTCGCAGTGACGGACTCTGAAGACGTTAACGGAACCGAAGCTGAACGTGTTGGGGTCCCATAGATGGGAGGATCCAGGGAAGAGGGGGGTAGCGAGCCTGAAAAGGGGGAACTCATTTTGTCATCACCGAGCTTGCGCTTGATGACCAACAGGGGGGATGCTCTCAGAGATGCCTTCACCGACCAGTGCGGAGCATCCCTACCGGAAAACAATAAAATCCGTGCTGGTCTTGTGGCATTTGAAGAGGAGAGATGACGGGAGACTGCCGCTTGTTTTGTCACAAAACCCGTTCGTCATGTTTTTTGGAGGGATGTCTTTTTGTCTGACCAGTGAGCCTTGGACAACTGGATTGTCTAGGGTAGGGTACCAAATTACGGAGAAGCGGAACCTAATTCTTAATATTTGGTTCCGATATTTGCCTCGGAACCAATAATTTGCTGATTTGGTCGGACCGGTGGGGATGATAATCGACATCAAATCATCAAATTTTGGTTATTTGGTTATTTGATTCTACCGGTGGTGATGCTCTTACTCGTGATCTGTCTCCATCTACAGTACATTAAGTCTAGCCTTCTCACTCCGTCGTCGGTTGATCGTGGTGCGTGTATTATGTGTGCAATGTGTCCACGTGTATGGGTATCATCACAACTTTGAATTGGTGGGTAACTCTCCTTGCTTCAGCTGCTCCGTCTCATTAAACGCACACTTGCGAATTCATCCCGCAGTGGCGGTTGAACAGGATTTTTCCTTTCTAACACGAGACGCAGCCTTTTTGGATACGTTCAGCTGTCGAAAATGCAATTTTTTTGTCCTTCAGCTACAGCACCATCAGCAGTGCCGCGTGAGACAGTATTGAGGACACAATGCAAGACAACTGTGATGATTCCCATGTACACCTGTCACACGCACACACGCACGCCAGGTGTCCGCCCCAGAGACGGCGCCTCCGCCGCCGTCCCTCTTAGTGCACCGACCTCTAGCTTCAGTAAACATCGGACCATCGTTCCTTGCACCACAGGTTATGGTCCCGAATCGCAAACCCACCCTGCAAAACGATCACAGACCGCCCCTTCGCAGATCTCAACGCCACTCACCCGGCCTCACACCCCCTGCACCACGCGGCAACACCCCCGCCAGCCTGCAGTATACCCCTCCCTCGACTGACTCTGCCTCCCCATCGCTCCCCCTCGTCGAGCGTCACACCGCAGATCGTCCCAACTCAGTCCTGCCAGTCCGGCCTCCGTCACAACACGTCGACTGCCGCCTCGCAGCACTAAACGCCCCCCACATTTTCCCATCCCCGCACCGCACCACCCCCGCGAGCCCCACCACGCAACCCTCCCTTACACCACCGCCGTCCCCCCCCACCCATCTCATGGATCCACACGAGGAAACCGTCACGCCCAATCGGCGCCCCTCCCCCTTCTACGGACACCTACTCGCCCTCCTCCCAGAAGGAACCAACTTCCCCATATGGAGACAAGCACTTCGAGCCATCGCCGTCATCAATGACGCGCAACATGCGCTTGATCCCTCGCACACACCTCCCCCACAGGACCCCGTACAACGAGCCAAGCACACAAAGGACTGCGACTCAATGCGCATGTTGATTACGAACAGTCTCTCACAGGACCTAGCAGAAACAACCGACCTAACCTTCGACGCTTCAGCAGCCGAGCTACTGTCAACAATCGAAACCCACTTTACGGACAACTCCCCTACAACTCATCTACTCCTAAGGCAGGAAGCCGACCGCCTTCGCCTTACCCCCGACACCACAGTCGACGAGTACATCAAAAAAACACAGAACGCTACGAATGCGTATGCGTCTTGCACAATACCCAAACATATCTGCTGACGAAACAGTAACCGTCGATGCCATTATCAAAGGCCTAGAACACCATCACGCCTTCAAACATTTACCCGACACATGGGCTGAGACCGCGTCCGTTCCGACCTCAATCCGGGCGATCCAACAACGCCTCAACGCCGTACAAGCCCGAACAACTGCCCGGCAAGACAACAAACCACCAACCCCCCCAGGCCTCAGTACCCCCGATCCCCGCCCGACCAAGC